ACGTTGTCTCCACAACCTGGAATGCAAGACAAAATCTCGGATGTCGAACCGATACCCGGGAGTGGTATTCCGTGTCCCAGTCGCGTCAGCCAAGCCATAAGTCCCCAACTAAATCGCGTTTATCATCACCGAGCGTGAACACCAAATTATGCATTGTATGTGAAGTTGGTCTGAATGGAAATCAGCTACATGTGCATATGGTTATATGTGCAACAGCTCATTGCACAATCGGACATCCTTGCATACGTGGCGTTGAATGGTTTGGACGCACTGCCGCAACATTTCCTTGGCAAATTTAGCCCGGAGAAAGTACACGAATATCCGGCAGCTCTGTTTAAATGATATAGCGTGTGCCTTTGCAGTCAATATCAATTTATAAAAGAATAGGAAAATAAGAACCTATACAAAGTAAGAGATTGCAGTTCCTTTTTGTAGGTTCATCGTCGGCAAGCGACCGGAATGTATATATTCTCGGCAGCGTCATCGAGCCCCTACGTATTAGGACCCTACGAAAACACAACACATCAAGACCAAAGAAACCTGCCCCAAATTAGTATATTTACCATAGTCAATAAGGGCTGCCGCGTATTTACATTAACCCGGCCAAATGGGAACGGGACCCAGGACCTACACCAGCGAGGTTATACAGACGTCGCCGAAGCGGGTGACAGCAGAGAGATTGCCGAACGTGACTCGGAGTGCAGAAGGTGGCAGAGTCCGATCTGTGAGGGTGGTGCTCCACGTACTTTTGTTGCCGAGCAAAGGGGCATTTCCATGGCCAATGATGTTTTGCGAGAGCAAGACAAGACTTCCCTGCAGGCCTTGTTACCGTCGCGGTAAGGATTGGCTTAGTTGAGAGGTGGAACGTGTCAATTACTGTCAATCTACCGAGTAGCCATCTTGGACCTAAAATCGGGTCACTTGCAGTCGATATAGAGATGCGCGTAATGGCAGTCGGAGGTACAGGAGCATCGGGACTACAGGGTATATGCCAAGATGTGCCAATGAAACTGAATCGATCCGGGAGATCGAGTGATTGTGGAGACTTTCTCGATATGTGAGAAATGAAAACGATAGTTAACTGACTGGCCCATTTACCCGGTTGGACTGCAAAAGTACACTAACTCCGGCTGCATCGGGAATCTCTGTGGCCAGATGTTAGTGTCCCAGACAGGCAATAGTCAAGCACCGGGACGGCTTTCCTCTCCCTTCTTTGGCATCCGCGGCAGTCCCAACCATAGCAAGAGGATACCACCGGACAAGCCAATGATGAAAGGCTGGAGAACCTCGACTCCTCGTGCCTGTGTAATGGCACCGACAACGAACGGTAGGACAGCTGCACCTCCTCCACCAAAAGCAGCCGCAAACCCAATGGCACTAACATGCTGCGACTTGGGGAGAAGCTTGGTAGCTACGACCACGACAGCAGGGAAAAATGGGCCGAGAAAAAAGCCTTGCAGGGCGACTGCCACCGCTGAAGCATAAAAATTAGGCACGAGCCAGAGAATTAGTCCCAGCCCAATAGCGAGTAGGGAGTATACCTATCAACTTGGTTAGCTACGATGTGACAGTAGGTAAGACATATAACGTACTACGATAGAGACCTTCTCCCCTATTCGCGGCGTCACGAAGCCCAGTACTACCCGGCCTACGGTTAGTCCTAGCCAAAATCCAGTAGCCGTCATACCGCTGGCAAATGCTTCTCCGTTGCGGATTTGCATCATGAATGTTACGATCCATCCGCCGAGTGCAACTTCAATTCCTACATAGCCGAGAAGGAAAAAGGCACACAGCCAAGTTACCCGGGCATACGTCTTCTTAAAGAGAACTTGACGGAGACCACCCTTGCTCTCATTGGCACGAGCGTCCTCGACAGGGGGACCGGGAGAATCCCAGAAAACGGTGAGTAGGAAGGCAAATTCAAGCGCCGCGCAGCCAATCTATGAATATTAGTACTCGACTGGCCGTTGGTTAGATCTTAGCATACCATGATATAATAGAAGTAGTACCATTCCAGATGGGCTTTGGTAATCAAGGAAGTGGCTATCAAAGGACTTAATACTCCGCCAGCACCGTAGAAACCGTGTAGTAGTCCAAGGAGCTGGTTTGCATTGGCCATGTTCCCAAGCCACGCATTCCACGCAGCATCGCCAAGCCCATTACCAAAGCCCGCAAAGATGAATGACACAACCAAGACCGGATATGGAGGATGCAGACAGTTGATTATATATGATTATATACGCAATGAGATGGCATCCAGGAGCCAGCCATGCAACGCCACGACGGCCAAGCTTGGCGTGAATTCTATTGTTTAGGCAAGCAGCCAGAGTATATCCACCCAGTGGTGAGAAGAACACAAGTGACACAACCGTGTAGGATAAATTGTAGTAAGATTCCAGCTGTATGTTTTTAGCATTACTCAAATACGTCCACCTGATATGCGGGGAGACTGACGTAATGTATCAACGGCTGTTAATGTTAGCAGGGATCACTTAGATTGAAAGTTATGGAATCGCTCACGCCATACGCAGCGTCATTCATGCCCATAACCAGAAAGCTCCAGTAAGTGGCCAATGTTTTGAGTATGTTGGACCGGGGATGGTTCCATCGCTCCGTTTGAAGAAATACCTGGAGTTGCTCCTGTGTTGACATCTCAAACGACGCTTGTTCTTCCCAATTGCTGGAAACGGGGTTGTCCATTGTCGCAATATTGTTGGGTTATGGATCCGACCGTGAGACGAAACGATCAGTTCGCAATTAATTCCGATGAAGAGCGATATGTATCGTCTATCATGGTACTAGAGTCTCCCCGCACGTGCCCAGTGCCAAGATGAATAATTCGCCGTGTCGGTCATGACGTCAAATCGGCTAAAATTCGGGAATCCATCAAAGAAACCGTGCAGCTATGCCTATGTTTGAGTGAAGTAGTGGTTCTTGAAAGGTTGAGGGAAGATATTCTGCTTGTGATGCGTTCACGTGGGCAGTAATACTTCAGCATTGACAGGAATAAATGGTAATAAGTGGAGGTACAGTCTCTCTTGCGGCTATATATATAGATTTCACAACTTGGTCTTAGCACCTGGAGGTTAATAAGCCGTTTTTCGTGTGGTACGGGGCTTTGTAAACCAGAGAGCCAGGACGTAAGGTTGTTATACCTGTAGAGCCATCATCTAACGTATCGGATATCGGTTTACGAAGTATTGCGCAAGTCATATACGAAGTCGGGTATTCTCGCGTGCTGACTGAAGGCGGACGTTCATGCACTTATTGTAGTCACAATGGTGAGCCTCAGATGTTAGATTTCCTCGCCAATCAGCGTCCCAAAGCCGGCAGCCTGTTTTCAATAATCCAGAATATACAAGGAAAATGGTCTACGGAGCAACTCGTCCGGAGGTGTCAGCGGGTATCGACGGTCAACTGCTCCTCATTTTCCCGCTCGAGGTGTCTGAGAGGAATTTGTGGTACAACTGGTGTTGATTGACGCCCCAGAGTCCCTTTATAATGTCAGAGCAACGCGTAATCGATTTTATCCCTCATGAGGCGCCAGGGCGTTTCTTTCAGGGCCAGGATAGAGTCGTTGACAAGATAACGTCAGATTTTGAGAGTGACTCCAAGCTCTTTCGCCAAGTTCAGCTTATCGAGTGTTCCGATTTCTCCCATGTTGTGTCGGGTGTATACGAGGAGTACCTTGTAGATTCAGTTGCGGAATAGTGATTGATATGTCGATCCTGCCTCAAGTGCGGCCTATTTTCTCTACCCAGCAACGCGGATGAGGAATTTTCCCAGATGTCAAAAATAGCAGACGAGCTCGGGGGTAGAAGGATGGCTCGGGCGAGCCGGGGGATAGTATATCACAATCGATGTGGCTGTGGTGGATCCACTTGTACATGAACATCGGATTATGAGCTTATCGATACATCTTCTGCTAGGGATGGTACGATCTCACGTGGCCAAGTCTCATTAGAGCAGGCCTGTCAACTGTTAGGTTCAACTCTGATAATGAACGGGTTGGTCACATTGGAAAATAGTGGATCTTACCCAGCCTGGCAAAAGAAGCGATCATTTTAGATGGTTTGTTCCTGCCTTCGGGCGGAGGACTCAAGCATTATTCACCGAGGCAGATGCTAATTGTGGTAGTAGCGATGGTGCCATCATGTGCATAGTGAAATAGTGCAATGAATATGCATGCCTTCGAGAGTTTCGGAGATTCCTCAGGATGTGACTAAGACAGAGATCTTGGACTCTTGGTGAACGGAGGCCGAGGATGCCGGAAGCGGATGCTTGCGGGCCAGTCAGGTGCAAGGAGGATCACATGTTACACAGAGGGTTGCCCCCAGCCTCCCAGGAATGGATTCGACTCGGCTCCCCTGACAGGTTTCTCCATACTGTGCCGTGTACATAGTATCGTTTAGTACACTGTACTATGTATAGGATTTACGTGAAGGTTCCATGTCAGGTACCCGTTGATCATTGATGTAATGGTTGATGAAGTGATGTTCCGGATGTGGTAAGCCTGCCCTGGAAATCACGGCATTAGTAAAGGAAACGGAGAGACAATCACTGGAAGACGGGAGAATCCTGGGATCATCCCTGAAGTCCAGAATGGTCTGTTTGCCAGGTACGGAACAGCAAGGACCAATAGTGAATGTGGAAGCCTAACAAGTGTGAGCGCATCGCCACAGCCATGGCCCCGTGCTTGCGTGGCCCATTTTTCTGAATGAGGGGGTTTTCACTGTGATTGGCTATTAGTCAGGGCCAAGCCTTGGGTTTGCTGCATTAGTCAAAGCTTGGCTTGCCGAAAGCCAATGAACACCGAGGTGGACGGAACAAATGGGGGACTAAACGTCATGAATGACCCGATACGGCCGCGTCACAGTGTCACAAAATCCAGCGCACTTTCGTAACGATCGCCATTGGTGGCCGTTGCGTGATTTTGGTTCTAAAAAAACCCAAATATGCCAAATAAAGAAAAAGAGAGAGAGAGAAAAAAGCAACCCCAGGTCACGGGCGATTTAAGCGACCCAAAGGCCCGTCAGGGGTCTAGACGGAACTCAATCCATCATTAGATTTTGATCTGTCAGTGAAGACACTTGGCTGCGACTCAAGATTACATCCGATAACTTCCTGAATCCCCACACGGACCATTGATTCATCTATATAAATTTGAACATACCTGCATACCTTTCACTCACGTACCCCACGAGTTAAAAAAAATTTCAATTGAATACTTTCTCAAGTCTCACACAATGGCATCCAGCGCTGCAAGTCAACGGACCGAATCGGTTTCCTCCCACAGCTACAAGAAATCCCTTTCAAGTAAAGCCGACCCCAATGCCGCCCTGAGAGAAGAGCAGCCAAGTAAGTACAGCACTGATCTCAATGTGTCGTGGCGAACTCGCGGTTAACCTAAGTTAGTTGCCAATGCCATCGGCGGTACATCCTTATTCTCGTTGCGATCCATGCAGCATCGCGATGCAAAGGGCGAAGTGATCAGTAAGTGTGCGCAACAGCCCTAATCCTTGTTCCATGGCTAACCTCCGTAGCCGACCCGGATCGCTCCAACCCGACTCGCCCCCGAATGGAACGACCGCTCGATACCATCCGTGGCTTTGAGGCGGCCATTGAAGCTCGTCGACGAGAGAATGCCATGTGATAGGGGAAATTGAGGCTGGGGTCTGGTGTTCTTTTGGGAATTGCTTGGTTTCTTTTATTTTTTAGTTTTATGATCTGATGGGAATGGTTGATTGAGCGATTGTCTGAGTATGTATATTATGACTGGGACCGTGTGAATGTTATATTCTTTCTAGTGACTGAGGATCTGAAACATCGGACCAATGGGTCTTGTTCTCGTCGACTTAAAGTATTAAAGACTAATCAAATTATTCTAGGCAGCCGTCGAAGCTCAATAGAATGCGTGTTTGGGAATTCGAATGATCTCCACTGGGCATGAAATCCGACGGGTAAGAATTTAAATTCTCTGCTCGGAGATAAGGCCAACCCACTCGGCATCCACATCCGCACTATCTAGTGATGCGCCGGCAGTTAGCATCGTTGTCCCACTCCGGCGTTCTGTCCAATCTAAGAGCGACGGTGAAGATCCGGTGCTCCATGTTCACGACGTTAATGGCGAGCTAAGCTTTTGAGGTATAGACCGAACTGTACAATTCAAGCGACGCCGTGGCTGACGCGTTCGATGCTGGATAGCGGGGCGGTCCTCCTGGTTTGTCGACGGCGGATAAAGCATAATGAGACGTTGCTATTAATACTAGATTGCAGAGTCTGCGGCGAGAATTTAACAGGGGCAGGTGTCCTTTTTTTTTCCCTGACTGTTTGGAGCGTTGTTGTTGCCAGTCTCTCTTTTCGTACCTATACCTTCCTGACGTTCGTTATATACCATTGTTTTTTCAATACTCGTCCCAATACAAAGTATTTTCCGGTTCTACACTACGATGAAGCTTTCCTGGGCAGTGGGAGCGGCCCTGTTGGGTACCGCTGTGGCCGATGTCGACCCCATCGTCATCAAGGGTTCCAAATTCTTCTACTCTAGTAACAATACCCAGTTGTAAGTCTCTGAGCTTCACCCTGGGCGCATCTCATATCCTCAGCTAATCATGTCAGCTACATTCGTGGTGTTGCCTATCAACGTAGGTCTCTCGGAAGTCTTCTTTTCACTACCGGCTACTAACCCTCGCAGAGGACTACTCCAGCAACGGTACCACCAATGGCTCTAGCAGCTATAAGGACCCCTTGGCCGATGCTACAGCTTGCAAGCGTGACGTGCCCATCATGCAGGAACTAAACACAAACACCATTCGGGTCTATGCCATCGACCCGACTGCCAACCACACCGTATGCATGCAGTTGCTGGCCGATGCAGGCATCTACGTGGTCTCAGACCTGTCTGATCCCACCCAGTCCATCGACCGGAGCGACCCCACCTGGGAAACTACTCTGTACTCTCGCTACACAGCGGTCATCGATGAGATGGCTCAGTATAATAACACCCTAGGTTTCTTTGCGGGTAATGAAGTCTCTAACACCGTCGCCACGACGGATGCTAGCGCGTTTGTCAAGGCGGCTGTTCGTGACATGAAATCTTATATCAAGCAGAAGGGCTACCGCACCATGGGTGTTGGATACGCGACTAACGATGACTCTGCTATCCGTGTGCACATGGCCAACTATTTCAACTGTGAAAGCGAAGAAGACAGCATCGACTTCTGGGGTTATAACATCTACTCTTGGTGCGGTGACTCGTCGTACTCGGCCTCTGGCTACAAGGACCGCACGGAAGAGTTCGCTAACTACTCTGTCCCCGTCTTCTTCGCTGAGTACGGGTGTAACGAGGTCCAGCCTCGTCAGTTCACCGAGGTTGATGCCCTATTTGGCGACAAGATGAATGGCGTGTGGTCTGGTGGTATTGTTTACATGTACTTCCAAGAAACCAACGATTACGGTAAGTTTTCCCAATCAGAGCCAGCCTCAGGGTCGCTAATTCCCATCTGTATAGGTCTTGTCTCCATCATTGACAGCACCAGCGTCAGCAAGCTTGCCGACTTCACCTCCTACTCGAAGCACATCGCCAGCGCCACCCCCTCTGGTGTGAACAAGGCTTCTTATACCCCTACCAACACTGCTCTGCAGAGCTGCCCCGCCGTCAACAGTGCCTGGAGAGCCACCCAGACCCCCTTGCCTCCTACGCCGAACGAGAACCTGTGTGACTGCATGTCTGACGCCGCCGCTTGTGTCGTGAAGGACTCCGTCTCGAGTGACGACTATGCCGACCTGTTCTCTCTGATCTGCGGGTACACTACATGCACGGGAGTGTCCAGCAACGGCACGACCGGAGTCTACGGCGCCTACGGCATGTGCAACCCCAAGCAGCAGCTCAACTTCCTCCTCAACAAGTACTACACCGAGCAGAACTCTGCCGCATCGGCCTGTAGCTTCGGTGGCTCGGCTACGGTGACCTCGACCACTAAGGCGACCGGCACTTGCTCCAGCTTGATGAGCCAGGCTGGTACTGCCGGTACGGGCACGGTCACTTCTCAGCCCACCGGTACCTCGGGCTCGTCTGCCTCTTCTTCCACCTCGTCGGGTTTGGCTCCTACTACCGGTAGCACGATGGTGGTGGTTGGATCCGTTCAGCTGGGCGCGTACATTGTGACTGCCGTGTGCGCTGCATTGTTTATGATTGTGCTGTAGATTGGCTGGATAGATATGTGGTATTGACTTTGAACTCACTTTAGTCACTCCTTAGATTTTCTTGTATAATAGATCGTTTACATTTTAGTGGACGTATCTAGAAATTCTGCGATCTCTGGCAAACGTAAGTATCGCTGTAATTATTGACATCCAGCACAGTTTGAGGCCGTCCTAATGACCGCGCGATGCCCCTGAAGTATGACAACGATGATGAGTAGAAACAGGATAGAATATAGATTGTCTGGTGAACACCTGAAAGGAGCACTAATATACAAGAGTCAAGTATGCTAAAGGAAGGTGCGGGACGAGAAGGTGATCGCCTTGCATATGAGCATGTAGCTAAGATACCACAACTCAAGATATCCACGTATTTCGACTGCGATATACTGAGTACTTAGATAGGAGTGCTTTTGTATTATAAAACCATTCTCATATTTATGGTATATGGTTTCAAAATATAGCTATTGATTTAGCTTTTTCTGTACTAAATATAACAGTCCAATCTATATATGTCCCCTTCTTTATGGGCTCGACCGAGCAAAGGCAATATGGCGTTCTTAGACTCATCCATCTAGGGTTATATTGCTGAGGTTGACGTCTTCCCTACACTTTTAACTTTCTTGATATTCTGGAGCCGTATACTATAGAGACAAATATTGTGGGAAGCCTGTTTTGTGGTTTTTTTTTTTTTTTTCTTTTTTTTTTTTGTCCAAGTAGATATTATTTTTTGAGAACCTAGATATATCTAGATTATTGAATTAAACCGTTTGATCGGCAATGATAACCAGAGGATAGGATGCTTGGAAGTGGGAAGGTTTCTTAAGAACCTCAAAGCTTATCTATTACCTAGTAGCTTACTATTGTGGGCGGTATATAAGTTAGAATGATAATCTTTGGTCACTCCAATCCTTGGAAGGGCAGTATAATACTCAATATTATATTCATCGTTTCTCCGTCGGACATCCTTCACCCTGGTCGGCAAATACAGGGTTTAATTTGTTCAACAAATGAAAAGCTGCTACTATACCAGGGTTATCTATATTATTTATCGCTAACGCCCGGGTAAGGTCAGGCATGCATGCGTTTAGGACGCTAAAATGTCACCATAGGCTCGAACTATTTGCCATGATCTATGTTATACTAGTAGGCATCAATCGGTACGTGTCACACCCATGACATATTTATCCTGCTCTGTCACCGACTCAAAGCATTAAAGGTCCCAAACACACAAACCACGAAATGGTCTGTTCAACAGGGAGTGACCGGTCCTTTGGCCCGCGGGTTAACCCTGATTGTCGATCCTTTGATTTTACCATTGCATTTGAAGATGTGTTTTTCGCATGCTTGCCAGCCGGTCTCTTTATCCTCCTTTCCTGCATGCATGCCGCTCGACTACTACGGAAACCTATCCTATACCACCTGAATACTACGCTCCTGCGCAGCAAACTGGTCCGTATCCCTCCACACCTCTGTAGGAATATGTTCGAACTTACATGGAGCCGCCCGTGCAGTTGGCCCTGGCAGGGTTATTCATAGCGCAACTGGTATTTCTTGCCTTTCGGGTTCGAAGCTTAGCCGTCAAAACAGAAGGATCTATTGCAGCCGATGTTCTCAGCGCTCTGGCGACATTGGCAGCAGTTGTTCTATCCTTCGTCAGCCATCAACGCTCTCAACGGCCCTCCACCATCCTGAATCTATTTCTATCTGTCTCAATTCTACTCAATGCCGCTCGAACACGCACACTTTGGCTGCTACCGCGTAATGTCGGCAACTCGAGAGCAGCCACCGCCATGAGCATCGTTCTTTCTTTGTTTCTGGTATCACTGGCACTAGAGTCGGTGGAGACAAAAGCAAAAAGACTGAAAGCTGGTTCCCCAGAGCAGCACAGCGGAATTTGGCCTCGGACTTGCTTTACATGGCTGGCTTCCACATTCCGAACCGGCTACGCGCAGGTCCTTACGTTAGACGATCTGCCGCCGCTTGATACGAAACTGGAAAGCCAGGCTACGTGTGAGAGGCTCATAGAGGCATGGAATAGATGTAAGACACACAGCACACTTCATACTGGTAGGGACTAATATTTTGGGCGATCCAGACAACCACCAAGAGCCACACAGCCTGGTTCGTGCATGCTTTCGTGCTAACCTAGCATCATTTCTATCTCCCATTATACCACGTCTTTGTGTGATAGCGTTCAACTTCGCACAGCCCTTCCTAATCAACACCACACTACAAGCTATCGATCCGTCACAGCCCCGCACAAATGAGAGCAGAGGACTCATTGGTGCCTGGGCACTCGTGTATCTCGGGATAGCAGTAAGTGGGATAGTCCAGCCTGAGGGCAGTTGCATGCCTCACTAATAGCCATATTCGACGAAATAGCTGACCATAGCAGGCCTCTAATTCAATCTACCAATATCAGAATTTTAGATTCGTCACGCGAGTACGAGGAGCCCTGATCACAACCATTTATCATCACACTCTCCAAACACGAGTGGCCGATTCAGGCGACATTACCGCCGTTTCTCTTATGGGTACGGATGTGGAGCGCATAGTGAATGGCCTAGAGCTCTTCCATGAAACATGGGGCGCATTGGTTGAAATTGGGATTGCGTGCTGGCTACTCGGTCGTCAGCTCTCCGTAGCCTGCATCGCCCCCTTGATCCTGGTACTTCGTGAGTTTCTCCAATTCTCTTTCACAGACATGCTACTTCTTGTTCTGATGCGGAGATGTGTTAGTATTTGTGGCGGGAAGTTCAAAGTTATCGGTTTCAATGAATACCGCCCAACGAAGATGGATAGAGAAGGTCCAGGAACGGCTTCGCGTTACCTCTGCGATGCTCAGTGACATGAAAGCCGTGAAGATGTTGGGACTTTCGGGAGTCCTGCTGCCAGTGATCCAAGGTTTTCGCAGTCGCGAAATCGAGACCTCGCGCTCATACCGAAAGCTTCTCGTCGCCATGCTATTACTGTGTAAGTCCCCGGACTATGAAGTAATCCTCACCGTATTTGCTAGGACTAACTCCCCTACCCTAGCCTTGACGCCGATCAACCTGGCCCCTGTAGTGACCTTTGGCATATACACCATCATCGCTGTGTTCTGGAAAAGCCAAACCCTTCTTCTGACGCAGGCCTTTACCTCCCTATCATTGATCTCTTTGTTGACGACCCCGGTGATCGTTTTCATCCAAACGATGCCAATGGTATTCCAGTGCGTCGGTAATTTTGATCGCATTCAAGAGTATTGCAATTACTCTTCCCAGACGAGAAATGTCCCTCACAGTGGCGACGGTTCCCGGACGCCTTGTTCAACGTCAGAGGAAGAGACAACACTTGAGTCTGTACCGCTGGGAACGCTTTCTAAGGGCGAATCGCATTCTCATTCCCTCTTCCACGCAGACCTTCGCCTGGACGGCCATGGATTTGCTTGGAACCGCTCCAGCGCTGACCCGGCCCTCCATGACCTCCAAATTGCCATCAAGCGGGGCAGTATAACCGCGATTATTGGGCCAGTCGGAAGCGGGAAGTCCAGTTTCTTACACGCCCTGCTCGGAGAGCTCGTTGATATCCCGTCAGAGCTTGGATTATCCAGGCGGGACAAGGTCGATCCCAGAGCATGCAAGGCCATGGCCTACTGTGCCCAACACCCGTGGCTAGAGAATCACACCATCCGCGAGAACATCCGAGGGTCGTCGCCATGGGATTTGAAGTGGTATCATTGCGTATTGTCGGCCTGTGCTCTTGAGACCGATCTAGCGCAGCTGGAGAAAGGGGATTTCACTCTCGTGGGAAGCGATGGCGTGAAGTTGAGCGGGGGACAGAAGCAGCGGATCGTGAGTGACTGGAAACGAAGTCTTCTTGGTGCTTATTAGTAGCTTTGCTAACCGGGCACTGATTACAAAGGCTTTGGCTCGGGCCGTCTATTCCAAGCGAAGCATCATACTGCTGGATGATGTGTTTAGCGGTATAGACATGCACACGGTCCAAAGCGTGTCGCGCAGGCTGCTCGGACGCGACACAGGGCTTTTGCGCAATGATAACACTACCGTTGTGTTGACTACTCATAACCGTACGTGATTCCCCCTCATTCTATTATTTTGCTTTCAAATTCTGGTACTGATATGGCCTGGGTAATGTAGCCAGAATCATGATGCTGGCGGACAGGATCATCGTCCTTAGAGAAGGTAGAATGGTAGAGTCTGGGAGCCCTTCCTCTTTGGCTCAGAAAGACGAAGGCTATGTCAAAGAGCTTGGTCTTTGCGTGACCAGCCCGTGGGACAAAGAGTCAATTGATAAAGACAGTGCGTTGACTGCGAAAGAGGTTTCGCCCACAGCAGGCCTGACTTCCGCATCATCCAGGGAGGGCGATATGCATTCCGCCTTAATTGTAGATCCGACGAGCAACCCACCAACCGACCTAAGGCGAAAGAATGGAGACCTGTCAATTTACAGGTATTATCTCACCAGCTCGGGCTACGTGGCTGTCGGGCTTTATGCTCTGTTCATGGTCCTATGGATCTTCTTTACCGAGTTCTCAGGTGAGTGTGCGATGTGGTGCTTGTCAAATGAGTACCCCCAGCTTGGAATATGAACTAATCCGCCTGAAAGTGATATGGGTTAGTTGGTGGTCAGAGGCCAATGAGACACATCCCAACCAGAAGGTAGCTATGTACATGGGCGTCTATGCGATGATGGGGGTTCTGGGGACATTTGCTGCTTGCCTCGCTGCGTGGTGCGTACTTTTCAGTTTCTTATGGAGACTTGTGGTCGCTGATTCTCCGGCAGGGTTGCTTTCGTTTCAATCGTGAGCAATTCAGCAACCAGCATTCATTTCGATCTGCTCGCCGCTACCCTTAAGTATGTGATTCTGTGATTCCTGCATTGCACGTATGATAAAAATGTTGACCGTTGGGGCGGCGTCTAGGGCACCATTTCGCTTCTTCGCAAGCACCGATAACGGTGAACTTATCAACAGGTAACTCCCCTGCTCATCATCTCCCTATATAGTGAAAGTGAGAAGTGCTCATACCTCCCGTTAGATTTAGCGAGGACATGGAGCTCATAGACATGGACCTCCCATCGACAGCCCTGAACTATACTTCAAGTATTCTCCCCTCTCCCAACAATGTGTTCCTTTCCAGACCACTGACAACCATAAAAGCGGCTATATCCTGCCTTGCCCAAGTGATAATACTAGCTATCTTCTCCCGCTCCCTCGCCATCGCGGTCCCGCTCGTCTTTGCCCTGCTCTATGTTCTACAGCGCTTCTACCTCCAAACCTCCCGACAGATGCGTCTCCTGATGATCGAAGCTAAAGCCCCACTATACACCCATTTCACCAACACCGAGTCAACATACCGGTCCGGGGCAACCACTATCCGCGCCTTTGGCTGGACCCATGACTATCAGCACCGCGCCGCCCGCCTGGCGGATCATTCGCAGCGCCCAGCCTACCTGCAAAGCTGTATCCAACACTGGCTAACCTTCGCGCTCAACGTCCTGATGGCCGCCCTAGTGGTGATTCTTGTTGGGACTGTGGTAACCTGGCACCGCCAGCTGGACATCCGCGTCGGCGGCGTGGGTGTCGCGCTGATCATTCTCACCGGCCTGGGTGAAACGCTGACTCGGTTGATCCGCACGTGGACCCGACTGGAGTCGAGCATCGGCGCGTGACACGCGTGCAGCGCTTCGTGACGGAGACGGAGGCCGAGGATGCAGGGCAGGAATATGAGACGGCGGGTGGGACGATAGCGCCGTGGCCACGGCCTGGTGCTGTGGAGTTTGAAGGCGTGGTGGCGGGGTTTACAGCCCCGGGTTCCTCCAGGTATGTGCTTCTTTCATTCCTGCTGTTTTGATAATGAACCCGCTAATATACCGGACACGGATGTTTCAGCCTTCCCGCCGCCGATGCAGCCCTGAAAGCCATCACCCTCTCAGTTCAACCAGGGGAGCACCTCGCTATCTGTGGCCGATCAGGGAGTGGCAAGACATCGCTGCTTCTTGCCCTACTACGCATGGTGGAGGTGCTCGAGGGCCAGATCCTAGTAGAGGGGCGGGTAGCCGTTGCTGCTGGCGCATTCGCCGCGCAGGAGGCGGATGAATTCCGCCGCCGCCTCAACGTGGTCCCCCAGGATCCGTTTTTCCTGAAAGGTGCCAGTGTACGGTTCAATCTCGATCTGTACTCCGAGGCACAGTCCGAGGAAGAACTTGTGGGTGCGCTGCACCGAGTAGGGTTGTGGGAACTGGTGCATGCGCAAGGAGGTCTGGACACGGTTGTGGATACCTTGCCTTTATCGGCAGGGCAGCAACAGCTGTTCTGCTTTGCGCGGGCGATTGTTCGGCGGCGGAACTGTAGTATCCTTGTTTTGGATGAGGCGACGAGTAGGTGAGTGAATTGACGGCCGTTCTGGTATAAGCGAGCGAAACTCGGCTAATGTGTGACGTAGTGGATAGTGAGGCAGCGGCCCTCGTGCAGAGTATTATTGACTCGGAGTTCCGGGAATGCACCGTTCTAGCAGTGATGCATGTGTTAACGCATATCGAGGCCTACGATCGAGTGGCGGTTTTGGACGGGGGAGCGCTGGTGGAGGTTGGGCCTCCAGCGGAGTTACTGGCTGGTGAGACACGGCTCGCGGGCTTGTATAGCATGCATCTGGGTTAATAGGATGGCAGCCATAGGTTTAGTGGTAGAGATGAAACACTGACCCGTATACCGAGCTGCATCTTTCTAAATTAACTGCTCTACTTTGTCAATGAGGTGCGGTTATATTGCCTGCCAACCACCTGACAAGGAATCCGTGGAGTACCCTCCACAGCTAATGTAGCCGCAGGTAGATTGAGCCCAACTAGAGTTAATACAAAACTATCTAATTCCTCTCTTAGCGTTACCGCCATACTCCCCAGTCTCCGTCCACCGGCCCCCTAAGTGTTTGCTTTAATTCAAATCCCATGTCTCCGCCTTCATATTAAATTTTTGAAAGCAGGTCAGGCAAGGGTTCCATCTTGTGGCAATTGAATTCAGGACGTATGATTAAGGGCTATGGAATTTGCCAATATTCTTCGCCTGTGTTTCCATAGTTCCCAGTCTGGGTTTCTTGGAAGATACCGTCTATGGGGTTCGGAGATCGTTGAATTGGTGCCGCTTACTTTCCCCCGTGCGATACTTAGTGGTGTGTTTCGTGCTTGGCTGTTCTCTTGGTCTCACTGATAGAATGGTTTGATTGTGGATGGTGTTTCCAATATCCTGTTCAGCATGATGGGGATATTGAATGATGAAAGTTGTGTAAGAACAATGGACGGAGGTTTTAAACAGACGGAACAATGCCTTTGGTATGTACGCTCCAGAAGTGGGGTGTGGCCTAGAAGAAAGGGGATTCCCTTTTCCTTCGCAAGAGAGGCCCTGTCTAACGGGGATGATAGTCCGGACAGAATAGACTTTCTGAGGAGTAACGCTAAATAAAAAGGGTACTGGGACTGTTCTTGTTCAACCATGCATGGGTATTTTTTATTTGTTTGTCCTTAGTTGCTTAAATCCTACCCAGTAAGTAATAAACTATTGATGCTACATCGACTTCAATTTCTCAAAGAAAGTATGCCCATATAGAATTTGTTCTTAGGGCACACAATAACGGTCCAACAGGAATATGGCCGTGCCTTTGTGCCTGCTTTTCTTTAGCGGCCCTATCGATTTCTTATCTTTCTCAAGTCCTTGACAAGAGAAACAGAAATGGTGTTAAGCACACTCGCAAAGTAAATAAAGTAGACACATAGCTCGCACATTGACAAACCTGGTGTATACAAATACATTCAAATGGTAACAAAACAATATGCACATCTGGCTGCGGATTGGAAGAGTTTGCCCAGGCATCAACGATCCTCAGTGACATTGGGCTTCCTCCCCGTCTGGGCTCGCAAATCCATATTCCCCATGTAAAAATCTTAATATACCCCCCGATAAAACCGTAACTCGCGGAATTCAAATTTGTGACGTCCACGGCCTTCCTTGATCAAATCCTCCCATACCAATCTCCAATTTCTACCATTAGTATAATCCCCTTCGGCTTCGACCAGAACGTAGCCACCATCCAAAGACGTAGGTTTCCTAGTAAATGCTTCCTTGCGATCTATAATGCATGCAGTGTTGTCCTTCAGTGCACCGAGCACTATGTCCATTGCTTCCTTTCGATCGTAGCGTCTTACTTGATGCATTTTATATGGGGCGAGCAGATAGGATCTTTTGAGATGAGGCTTATATGATCTATATTCAGGCCTGTGTGTCTTGTCGCTAGGTTTCTCATGTTGGCTAGATTTTCGTTTGCGATTCTCATTGCTGCGGTAGCCTTTTTGGAAAGACTCACTAGCCTCGAAAAGATGGTTGACGGCCTTAACAAGGTGCCTCCATAGCTCAATAGTATCGGATGTTGGCATCGTGAGACGAGGAATGACTCCGGTGGAATGTATATTGAAATATCAAGGTCCTAAATCCTAGGGTAATAGAAGAAGTGCTGACTGGGCTCGTATATCGGATGAGGAAGAGGTCTTATAAGCAACTTCGGCTTCGTTGATTCAAATTCGCCCGCGGAGTGGAGCGCAAAGCCTGGTGATTGCCTTATGTATGGGCCGGCTCTTACCTGCATGAAAACTGCCCCTTGCCTATACACGAATTGAAATTGGCGGCACACTGCGATGGTCCTAACATGTACTACAAGGAGTGATATAAGTAGAATACGCATTCCAAAAATGTTATTCCGCTATTTTAGTTTCATCAGCATTGGACTTGCATGCTGTCGAGCGAAATACCTGACTATAGCGGAACTTGCACTTTCAGCTGAATCGATCTAACCAGATGTCCACAGTTGAAAAGACTAATCTGGTGTCAGTATCATAATAGCCTATCAAGAGTATGTTGGAACGGTATGAGCCATGAGTCATATGTCGCAAACCCATCACGGCTTAATTTAGAATTGAGCCCTCGAATGTGAGGTATGGAAATGTCCTATCCTGTGGCAATTCCATGGACGCAGTCACGCCACCCAGCCTTCTGGGTTGAGACGCCTTGTTCAGCAATGCGTACAGGCCCAGCGCTACCTGCAGCCGGTCTTAGTGTGTAGTTCACAATTTTGTAGTCCGTTTCTATACAACTCATGGTCGCGTCACTCTATACCCGCCATAGCCAGTTCATATCACTGAGGGACGCAGTCAATACATAATTACATTCATCAAGTAATACCAAGAGTATACAAACACAACGTAGAGTCACGTTCTGAGAATCACTTGATCGGGGATCTCCTAGTTGGGTCGATAAGTCTCCGTTGCATTGATCATTTCGGTGCCTTTGTCTAACGTACACACGAATAGTCTACCAGAATATCCGAAACAGCCAGATCCGGCTGACAACTGCCTAACAAAGAAAGCACAAGACATCGAGGGGATTTCCACGTTCTTTGAGGCTTCTTCCAGGTGTCGACCATTGCGTGTGCAGGCTGATTACCTTGCCAGTCATCGCATCAGATGCGAAATGTGGCCCATCGTCTTGGAGCATTATCCTGATGAGGAGCTTTGGTCCCATTTTTATAATTACTCGCGTGACGTGTAGGAGATTCTGTATTCCCTGTCCGGTAGTTGGGTTCTCCCATCCATCGTTCAGTAGTTTCCAGGAAATTTCCTGACTTGAAATGGATCTTCCCCACAACAAAACTTTCACTCTCGAGGCCTGCTCAAGTCATGCATTTCCGTCTGGCTGGACAAATGGCTCTACATTGAATTTTTCCGAGCAACCCAAAACTGCGCCTGATATGCATTCTTGCTCAGTCCCTTCCCATTCTGGGCGTAGGCCACTTCCTTACCACGAACTGTCATCCCAGGGACTGTTATATCTCCGCAAGATGCGTCCGTCTCCTGGAACGTAAACCCAATGTGCTCGGATAAGGCCACAATCTCATCCAGCGACAGCTGCAAAAAGGGCGCACTTCCGTATAGCAACGGACCCAGGTTGATCCACTGGCCCCCGGGGCGGAGTAGTCGATGGATATTCTCAAAGTAAGAAACCAAGTTCCGCGCAGTATCGATGAAGAACAGCGTGACTATCACATCATACTTCCCCGTCTCTTCTGCAAATACCGTAGTAAAGTCGCCTTCTACCAGGAGGACTGAGGGACTAGCCAATGTATCTGGAAACGAGACGGAACGCTGCAGATCACTAGTTGTCGCCTGGTGTGACCACCAGTCGATGTACGGATGGAAAGTCTTGCTGTTGGCGCTGGACAGGCTGGATAGATATCGATACGCGAGGTTCATGTACATGGACCATTCGTTCATGGTCACCTCGAAGCCTGCCTTGATTAGCACCTCTCGATGATCTTCCGTTGCAGCTGAAGCAAATCTCACCACTTAATGCATTAACCTCATTTGCTAATCGTCCCAGTCCTGCACCGGGTAGTAACACCCGCAACGGTTGCTCGAGATTTCTCGACATATTCGCAAGAGTACCCAAAATGCACGGGAATGCGTCCTGTCTCTCGTCGTACCCTTCATCGGCCCAATCGCGCACGAAATGCTTCATCGCCTGCGAGACACTCGTTTTGTCGGTATTGACCCCCTGCTTCTCATTCTCCTTGATGAATTTGTCCAATTCAGTTTGGGTAATGTTATAGAATTGCATCCCATGCTTGACAATCTCATGTGCTAATTTCTCGTTTGTCTCGAAAAGGTGGTCCACTGTATTCAGTTTACGGGTATATTTAATCGTGGATTCGACGATCTAATTCTCGTTAGCAGCGAAAACAAGAAGTTTTACGGGGGCGCATACCGAGCGCTGTTTCTTAGGGATTTTCTTATACCAATCCCGCCATCGCTTCGTCTCGGCTAGATTGCGCTCTTTGTAGCGATGGAAGGCATGGAGAGCTGTGAGCAATCTCTGTCGAGGATGTGATGTATCCCCCGATGCGACGGGACGTTGAAGGCGAGTTTGTAGTCGCGAGTATTCTTCTTGCTGACGTGACTCAGCTGGGTCGACTAGGGTGATGTTTGTCACGAAGACGTGTGTTATCCTCTGCGAAAAGTCAGTTAGGTGATCTTACGCCAATGAGTGGGAAGTTGTTACGTCTATTTCGGCATCGTACTGGGGAGCTATATCCTTTGCCCATGCCAGACAGAGAATATACAAAAGTAATAGTACATGACGCATTCTTCCCTTTATATGCAGGTCGTAAAGACTAAGAAACGATAAGAATGAACATAAAACAGATGGGAGATACATGATCAAAAAAATCGAATTCACGACGCCCCGAAGGTCCTCAAATCTAGAGTCTTTTCAGCATTGCCAAGTCCGACGGGCTATTGTTGGAGATTGTTCGTCTTGGCACCGAGAGTCATCGTTTGATAGCCATCTGAATTTATCTGCTGCTGTATCGACAGTGATCTTGTAACCCATACAGAACTTTGTCTGACTTATTAGGTCTTGTGCCGGAATCTCTGTAGGGGACTTCTCAGCTCTGGGAGCATTAGCCAACAGAGCTCAGCACCCAACAAAGAGAGCCAGATCTCTCTATTCCTGAGAATATTCAGGAGACCGGCTTTTCCGTCCGATATACTTTGACATCATGTAGATGCAGAGTGACGGCTTCACGCCATAATGAATGTCAACTGAGTCTATAATTTACCCCAGATCACACTGCACACTGCACACTGTGGTTTCTGCTACAAGATATATTCAAGTGAGGATGGTCTTCACAGGAACGAAGCGCACTGTCATCTATGTTTTACGCTGCCTAAGCATATCTTTGGCAGGGTTGTGACCAGGAGTCAGCGGGTGATCTAATGGTTTGATAGAGGACTACTATCGAAAATGCCTGACAAGGTCTGGTATGCTTTGGTACAAAGCTGATATGGTTGGAGCCCTCAACACAATGGGAGTGCATCCTCTCTCCGCCTTTCGTTACTTCTCCATCGGATGTACGGAAATATGGAACCCACCGTCCCCGCATCGATAAGGCTTCACCCGCAATATCCGAGGTGGGACACGGAACCCCATCCCGATCCCCCCAATAAATAGCCAATGCGGCACCTCAATTGTCTCGACCCCAATTTCCTCAAATACTATTCGCGCCGTCAAAATGTCCTGGACGCACCTCATCCGCTTTATCGCCGTCGAAGATAGCCAAGAGCATCTGGGCCAATTAGTCGACACCACTCGCGACATTGGCAAAGATAGCGTCAATGGCGTGGACATCGCGGCGTATCTTATCGATGGTACGATCTTTGACGGGCGCGTATCCACGACCGTGATGCACGTTAAGCAGGTGAAGACCAGATCTGATAGCGGACTATAGTCGAAGTGCCATACTAACAACAAAGTAGCTTCTCTCCCCAGTCACCAAGGAACAATGCAGTTACATCCGTTGTCTGGGCCTGAACTACCTCGACCACGCCAAGGAAGCCAACATGGCCCTCCCCACAGTCCCCGTTATGTTCACGAAGCCTCGCACTGCCCTAGCCAATCCGTACCCAGCGACGATCAATATCCCCCAATGTGCGCAGGATGAAACGAGCGATTACGAGGCAGAACTCTGCGTCGTCATTGGAAAGACAGGGCGTGATATCCCTGAAGAGGAAGCGCTGGATTATGTTCTGGGTTATACAGCATCTAACGACGTTTCAGCAAGGACGCTGCAATTTGCGACTTCGCAGTGGTCATTTTCGAAGGGGTTGGATGGGAGTTGCCCTGTCGGTATGTTCTTTGTTTCTCTGTGTCTCTCTATATCCCTCCTTGGCTTTTTTGGAGGTTCCTGTCTAACCAGTGTAGGACCCGTCCTCGTCTCATCCTCTGTTATCAAAGACCCGCAGACGTTGTTCATTAAGGCAATCCATAATGGGAGCGTCCTGCAGAATGGCCATACCAAGGAAATGCTGTTTTCGATTAAGAAGCAGATCTCCTATCTGTCCCAGGGCACAACACTAGAAGCCGGCACAATTTTCCTGACGGGAACTCCAGCTGGAATTGGGTTTACTCGGGAGCCCAGAATTGTGCTGAAGGATGGTGATGAGATCAATGTCGAAATTGAAAACATTGGCACGTTGGTCAACAGGGTGAGGTATGAATAGAAGCGTTGTTTTTATATAAAGGAGGTTATTCGTTAGGTTGATCATGAAACATTACGATTGGACTTCACTTCATTATTCTGCCGATTATATATTGCTAAATGACCTAGACGGAATTTGCTACATATAGTAGGTCTGTTATCCAGTGACTAGGGTAGTAGTAGGTTTGGGGAATCTCGTATCTCTTGTACAACTTGCTTATTTGGCATGACACGGGTCTGATATAAGGCCCCCACTGAGCCATATAATCAAAAGTATACTGAATAAATTGGACATAATTGGTATATTCACCCCGATCAAACAGTATAACTAGTTCAAGAACCAAGACGGGACCTCAGGACCCCAAACTGCCAACGACTCATCCCCCGCGGGCCCATAACCAATTGGAGTCTCTTCATTAATCAAATCGCCATCTGCATAGTGTTCGACCATATTACCGGTGGTGTCCCACCAGTAGTCGAAAATCTGGGAGCCTAGGATGTGTCTCCCGACGCCCCAAACCGATTCATATCCCTTCTCACTCAACCATTGATGGCCGAGATGCTGCGTGTCAATGTCGTGGACCTCAAAAGAGCAATGATGGACATGTGAGGTTGGATTCGTGCTCAAGAAGAAGCTATGATGATCGACATAGTCGGTTCCACGGTCGATGTGTGCGAAAAGAGCGACATTTTTCTTTTGACCGTCCTTCTCGACGTGCAGGAAATCACTCGGCACAATGTTGAAGTTCGTCGTATAGAAGCTTACCAATTCATCGAACTTCTGGACGCAGAGCCCGAAGTGTCCGAGCTGAATTGCCTATTAGTGCTTACCTTATTCACATGGGTATAGGAGAGAACGTACCTTGTGAACCGCAGCTGGACCTGGATTAAAGCGCTGAAACTTCCGAATCCGTGGTTTCTCAGACTCCGTATTCACGATAATGCTCGTCGGGTATTCTCCAGTCTGGCGTGGCTCTTGGCCATAGATCAGGTTGATAGGAAATCCCTCCGGATCAGGTAGAGTTAGCAGATGTCCTCCGCCGGGTGCCTCTGACAGCTCTTGAATTTCCCCTGCACCAGGCAGTTGTGCAGCTCTACAAGATTAGCAATCTTTTCACTTCCACATGAAGCAAGGATAAATCACTCACTTCTCTAGGTCTTGGAACGACTCCACTTCAAATGTGCCGCCTAAGAACTTCTTCTCCCCCTTCTGCGCGTAATACACATATTGATCAGTCCCATAGCCTCGGTACCAAATCCGATCGGCCGTCTTCTTAACCACCTCCATCCCAAAGTCCTGTAAAAACACTGTAATCTCATTCAAGTCCGGATGCTGGTACCGCATATGCGACAGTTTCACCAGGCGGATCTGCTTCCTGGTATCGATATTGCATCGTGTCCTCCACGATGTGACGGACTCCTGCTCCGGGCCTATGGCGGTAATATCGGCAATCGAGGCCCCATGGGCCGGGGTGGGTCGTTCGCTCTGTTCATTTCGTGCGCGATTAGCAAGGCCGTCCAGGGGCATCTTGGGGGGGCTGTGGCTCATACCACGATCATGCTATACACTTCTCTCTTCTGTGAATTCGTTGTACTGAGTCTCGGATGTGCCACCTTCCTTTCTGCTTATAAGAATTACCCCAGGAATTTCCCCGCATGAAGTCGGCTCGGAGGGGCATGCCTTATTTCTGGGGTTGAAGCCACTTGTCCCACTGTAAATCAGGCCATGTCCCACATTCTCCCTGTGGGGCTGGTTTATGATCGTGTTTGTCGGCATTACATGTGAATAAGTACCGGCACCGTTTTTCTTGGTTAAACCTTAAAACACTGATTTCGTTCATACGGGAGGGGTGAACTGACGTTTTGACGGTGATGTGGTGTGGTGTTCTGTCTATCGCATGCCTTGCTATACATAAGGCTGGCGTATGTGGGGCCGGTATTAAGACAGGGGTATTTCCTGAAGAATAAGCCACGGTCAACCAGTACTTGAGAATGCGAATAAAATTCTAATATACTAAACAACATGAAACTGATGGAAGAAAGGTCCAAAGGAAGCGTAGTTACAGCCAGTGCACCATGAGCCTTGCAAGGCTTACCCATCGGTGCTCACGGCTATCGCTTTGGGGCTCACCAACTTGGAGTGTTTCTAAGCTTCCAAAATTATGAACACTACGCTTGCGGAGTATTTCAACTCTAGGTTAACAACCCAATTCATTTATATTTCTCCGACGTATGGCTGGGCGGCGTTTCAGATATCTTCTCCCAACATACTATCCGTGCACATCCATCGCTTCTATATATAGCATGGTAATACCATATATACTCGAATCACAAGGGGATACTACCCCAATTTATGCTTTATGTATGTAGCCTAGATATACTGAGCATGCATTTTGTATTTACTGACAGGTAGCATAACGGGCATCAGGCCATTCCACCGACTTAATCCTCATATTCGCGGATCGGAGTGAACAAGCCTGTCGCCTGGAAGTCCCTACTCGAAAACCCAACGTGCGCTTGCATCAGCCCGCTTGCTATCACCCATTGCTGCCTTGTAACATCCCAGTTACTAATATCCCTTCTCGTCAACTCAAATGCGACCGTTCTAGACTCTCCAGGCTGGAGGTGTACCTTCTCAAATCCCCGAAGAATATTCACTGGCGAAGCGGCCCGAGTCGTGTCCTTAGGAAAGCTCAAGTAAAGCTGTGGTACAGCGGCCCCAGCAACATCTCCGGTGTTTTTTACGGTAATGGATATTCTGTAAAGCGCTTCCCAGAGATTGGGATTTCCTCCAGGGATGACCTTTGCATCCGCCGGTAGAGCCGATAAATCTCCGTTGAATAGAGGAGTGATGGAGATGTTCTTTCCAATCGCAAAGGTTGTGTACGAAAGACCGTATCCAAATTCGTATTGTACCGTTTTGTTATAGTAATCGAAATGTCCTATTAGTTTGCAGCGTATCCTGTTAGTGAGGTTCTGAGGGCTCATGGCTGTTGGGTTTCAGAAATATACGCAGGTCGGAGAAATACGCACGGTAATCAATCAGCACCCCTTCCTTAAAATCAGATTGCCAGGCTCCTGGATCATTGGTGTTTTGGAGAGCCGTAGCATTTTGAATCGGAGCAAAAGAATAGTCAGATTGTGTTTCTGCGATTGTGTAGGGCAGATGGCCGGACGGATTGACATCTCCCCAAAGCACGTCGACGATGCTGTTGCCGGCTTCTTGACCTGGAAGGTGGGCGGCCAGGATGGCGGTTACATTGGGATGGTCCGCCCAGGGCAGGATATTGACACCGTTGGAGTGGGTCACAACCACTGTATTTGGGCACGTAGACGCGATCTTCTGGACAACCTCGTCGCCGTTCCAGTCCAAATGGAGCGACGTGCGGTCTTCGCCTTCGGTTGCCCAGCTTTTTAGGAAGACGAGGCAGACGTCCGGGGACGAAGGGAGTAGCGCTTTGAGGCTGGGTTCCATTTCGTTTAGCGTCAGTTGGTGGAGATGGGCTGGGGTAATTGCACTTACTATGGGCTATCCTCTTCAATAATAGCACTGTTGTTCAGTACGTATTGCACGAGAGTCTGACTTCGGAAGCCAGCGCGCTTCTTAATTGCCTCCAGAGGACTGACTATATACGAGAAGAGACCTGATCCAGAGCCTCCACCTGCTGCAAGCACGCCGTATTCGTAGTTACCAACGCCGTTGAAGTAGAAAACGGACATGCCGTTCGTGAAATCTCCAGCGTCATTGCCGAAAACCGCGATCTGCTTCGGAGACTTCAGGGGAAGTGTGTTGTTGGTGTTCTTAAGAAGTACGATACCGTCCGCAGCTTGCTTCCGGATCTCTTCTCCATGGTTGCCGCGGACGTCAACATTGGCGACTGGTCCATAGGTGTAATTGTATTTGTACTCATTGGCTGCTTGTTATTCAGTATAAGACTCCACGCCTTCATTAGATGAAAGTCGTCACTTACGGCTAGAGAAGAGAACTGCATTGAGCTCCACGTTGACCGGGTCCAGGGCTGGGAAACCCTTGTCCTGATTAAGGTGGAAATATGGTGTCATGACTCTGCGGCACATGTCGTCTAAGCGTTCCATTGACACAGATCCATTTTCAACAGATTTGGTCAGATTTTCGTGGAAGAATACAGTCCCAAAGCTTGCAGTGCCCGGCATATCCATGTCCTCGCCAGCGTTAATGGCAAAGGCACCACTGTGTGTAGCACCCCAGTCTGACATCACGTACCCTTGGAAACCAAGCTCCTCTTTGAGAATACCATTCAGCACCTTACTGTTCTGGCATCCGTAGGTTTGGTTCAGGCGGTTGTAGCTGCACATTACCTGGTGCCGCGCTGTCAGATATACTTCGCACGCTCATCTATGCATAACTTACCGTAGCCACTCCGGCCCTGACCGCTTGTTGAAATGGCCACACATAGAGCTCGTGCATAGTGCGGTCGTCAATATTGGAAGAGACACTCTCAATCGTGGTGCCTTCTTCATTCTGGGAGGGTTGCCGTTGAGTTTCTTGCTCATTACCGATGAAGTGCTTGGCGCATGCCTGTACACCGGTGTCCTGGATACCAAGGATGGTCTCCGTGAACAGCTCTCCCGTTAAATAGGGGTCTGGTGAGAAGCCTTCCCAGTTTCTTCCACCCAGACCCGACCGGCCAAGAGGACCAGCAACCGGCCCAAGAAGAACCTGCGACCCCTTGCCCCGGAACTCGGCAGCCATCTGACTCCCTCTTTCGTAGGCAATATTCTTGTCCCAGGTTGCGGCGATAGTAATGCCCGCAGGGAAGACAGAGGAGTAAGTGCCCTGCTCCAGTGCTAAGGGGCCATTTTGGATACAGAGCCCTGTGAAGTTGAGACGGTAGATGGGCGCAATATTCCCTACACAAGGCCCTTCCGTTCCTGAGACTAGACTCACTTTCTCTTCGGTAGTTAGCTGGGAGACAAAATCCGAGGCCCGTGTAAAGGCATCTTCCCACTGGAGGCCCGTTGCATCCGCTGTTCTATGTCAGGGGAAATATCGCTGAGGATATGTGCATCGGTGCTCACTCACGGTTGGGAATCTCGTCCGGGGTAGGGCTATAGAGGTAGTCGTTGTGATTCCATGCCGCTTCAGAAGAACCTATAGAAAAGGCAAATGCTGCTGTGTACACGAGTTGGCTGCGCATGATGGCGATGTTGGCTCAATAGAACTTCAAAGTTCAATGACTCCTTTTTGCAGGCAGGAAATTGTCCCTGTCGAACGGGCCCTTTATATTCTTCTTATATAGCCATGTGGTCCATGCTTTTCCCCTCGCAGTAGAATAAACTGCGACCCCGATACGTCATGCTTCCCTTGAGATCTAAGATTAGTCTAGTTCGTGCATACGGATTCTTTCACAGTATATTGCGTGGTCTCATTCCTTGCCCAGATCCACCATGCAATAAAACACAAGGTATCATTGTATGTAGAATGTGCCCCGGCTAAACTTCGGGTAAACACCCGTGCGTACGATGGGCCAGTCGATCATCTCTCTGTTTGTCCAAGTAGCATAAGTGGGAAAGGTCGATATGGGGAGGAATGCGGGGATGGATCTGAGCCACGGCATGAGCTTGATGAGCTTTGGGCTGCTGGCAATTTTGCCTAATTTGGCAAGTTCATGGTAAATCGCCTTGGCCTTTGCCGGGATGGATAACTACCAACCTCTATTTTGTGTGTTTTCGGAATCGTCCGACACATATCCGCTTTTTGATTTGGTTGGGGAACCCTGACCCGAAATGTAGCAAGGGTTGTTATGTACTTTGTATGTGCATACTCTGGACCGGCTGCTGGGGTATTCCGAAGAGGGACCATTACAACATGAGTCCAGCCACGACTTCAGTTAAATGGGAGTCATGTCAAAGTTATGGGTCTGCCTTCCTCCAGCAAATAATGAGGGCACCAGGTCACTTTTCACGATTACACTATCTCGCGCCAATGAAAATTCTACATGTAGGTGTAGTCTCAGTGGAATCGCAAATTGAGTAGATGAATGAATATAGTTTGCGCCCTGCATAGAGGAAAGGACTCTATTGCCTTCGGCTTCGTTTAGTTATGGACAGACACAACTACGATTCGTCACCATATATCTTAGAGTATGCTCGACTGACTCAGATATCAGTATCTGCAGCAGCTTCTTCCTTGATGATGTCAGAGGCACGTTCCGCAATACCGTAGAGATTAGCCGTTGGATGGCCGCCAATCTGCAAAGGCTGAATGGAGGAGTCAACTACGCGTACATTACTAGTACCGTAGACTCTCAATCGACTGTCGACAACTCCACCCATAGAGCGGGGCAACATAGATGTCGTTCCGATGACATGATAGTTTGGCGTATCTAACGATAACGTTCAGAGGTTAAAACATCAAGTAGGAGGGACGGATCTACTTACATTGTTTCCCTATCCATGTCTTCCAGGCTTCGTCCGAGGCATCCTCTGGAACGTCCGTAAACCCAGGCAGAGTTTCATTGCTGATCAGACTGTTGAAGTCGCCACTCTTGAACATTCGGCGCAGGAATTTGGACATAGCGATTTGTATCTGGACGTCCCACTCGAGAAGGCCGAAGTTTGGGTTTACTACCGGTGGCTCCATGGGGTCGACGGAGCTAATGTGAACGTTTCCCCGTGCAAACGGGAGAAGGCCCCAGTAGCCAGTATGGATAGTATTGGCGTCCTCCAATATGAAGACAAATTCAGCAGCTGGGACATCTTTGCCGAACACAAGGTCGTGCTGGACCTCGAACATTCTCAGCAAGTCCTCTTTTCTCATAGCCCCATTGCTCCCACTAGCGGTAATATTGGCATATTCTTCAAGTTGTGAACGAACCGAGTCAGCTACTGACTGTGCTGATGACCCGAAGATATCGGACACCGAGGCGAAAGCAACCGTTCTTGTTCCCGTTACCGGGGTTTTGGTGGACACGACAATGGAGGTGTTAAGTTGATCTTGGAGGTTTTCGCCAACACTTGGCAGATTGAGCTCGACAGGAATCCCATACTTTTCCAATATCCTGTCGGTGGTGTCAGAAATCTCCTATGCACGTCCACGACATTACATTGGGCAGAGAAATGTTTACCTAGGATTCCCAACACCAGAAAGCTCTAAAATTGTCGGTGTCCGCATCGCACCCGCTGCGAGAATAACTTCCTTTCGGGCATTAATAACACTCTTCCGTTTCCTATCTCCATCTTGGATGATGATCTCGACTCCTTGAGCACGAATATCACTTCCCTCTTCCTTCCTCTGCCATACGATCCGGGTAACAAACGTATTCAGTTCGACCTGCAGATTCAGTCTCTCTGCATAGGGCCAATAGTATGCTCTAGCCGCATCACTGCGGATGTTCGTCACATCAACCGTATAAGGATGAAGGGCGAAGCCTCGCATATGTCCGGAATTCAAGTCCTGGTTCCATGGAATGCCCAGTGACACTAACGTGTTATTCATACTCACTGTCAAGTCACCTTCATATTGCCGTATATCCATGAATCCAACATTCACTGGCCCACCAGTGCCGTGGAGAGTAGGAGAGATGGACGCCCCGGCCTCGATTTGAGTCTGGTTAGGGGCCGTCATATTTTCACTTTTTGTAAAGTAAGGAAACAGGCTGTCCCAGTCCCAGCCTTCGATTCCAATGTCACGCAAGGCATCAATCTGCGCTTTTTCTGCTCGCACATAGGCCGCTCCTAGGAACCGTTCAATTCTGTTTGTCTAAAGCAAGCTCGGAATCTCTTTACGTACCATTCATAACGCTTGTTCCTCCAAGTGCTTTCCCCGCGCGCATCACCTGGCGGCGATTGCCGAAGCTCTGTTCCGTTGTCTCGTATGCCCAGTCGAGGGGGCTGTCATATGTGTACGGAAGATTGCTGATGTCGGTCACATTGACATTATCAAAAACGGATGGTCCGGCTTCGATAACTAAAACTGATGTCCTTGGATCTTGAGCCAGTCGGTTGGCAACAGCCAATCCACTTGTGCCTCCGCCAACAATGATATAGTCATAGTCAGAGGCTATGACTCCAACTACCAGGAGCAGAATCCAACATGGGAGCATATTCACAGATCTTCCGCACGGGGAGTTCAGTGCTCTTGACTCCGGATATATGTTTCCAGCATCTGGTCCAAGAGGGGAACGGGGCGTAGAGACGGATTTATATCCTTCACTCATATCTGCGGCATGGACATATTCTAGAGCGTCATCCAGTATGCAAAGAAGAGTGCCTAGCGGAAAGTTGGGGTAGCCATGCAGAAGCGGGGTTTGCTGGGTATCTTACCGCAAGTAGCATTTTCTATATGTAAGGGTGGTATTGCAGACTGCAAGGGGCCCAGGAGAGATCTGCATTGCCAAGATACTGATGACGAGAGGCGAGAAGCATGTCTCGGTGTAAGGCCTCGCGAGCTTGATTTGCATGGGTACGTGAATATCTGAAAGGAAGCCTTTTTTCTCGGGGGAAGGGGCACATATTGCGCGATAGCTAGAGCTTGCCAATGGTGTATGTTCGATTGACGATATCTATCCTTATCTATTCGTTTCCTTTCTAATAAACAACATTCAGCTACATATGCTGTTCACACTTGTACCCCCAGCGCTCCAAGTGTCGTCTGGTTGCATCTCTCCAAAAATGCCATTGCCTTGTCCTTGTCATGCCATGCATCGTTATATGCCACACTCAAACTCAACCTGTTCTTCCAAGTGCCCAAGAACAGACCAAGTCCCGTCCCTAGCTCTTCTCCGGTAACCCATGGATTGTCGAGCTGGAATGGCCCATGGGTAGGGCTTATCACTTTATCAAGGACACCCATGCTAGATATCGAAGCAGACGGTTTCTCGTTGCGTGCCGGGACAGGCGGAGTTGCCCCATCACTCGGGTACGGAATGGTAGCCATCTTCCAATAAGACGGGACAAGAAATATGTGCTCCTTATCATCCCGTATGCCGACATAAAAGTCTTTTACTTCCTGGGCAATAGCCAAGAATTCTGTTTTGTCGTTCGCTGCGGCAGACGCCACATCAGCCGTGTCCAGCGACGATGCAACCTTCAAATCGATTACCAGGGAGTTTCCCGATACAGAGTGGTATGCCGTCGCCGGGTGGGCCCGTGTACTATATGGATTCCTGCAGTGACCACGCTCGTTGATCAGGCTGTAGTTGATATAACGAACCTTGCGCCCATCTGCGCGTCTCTCCTGCATGTCCCGGACAGTGATCGCAATTGCCGTATGGTACGCATGGGTAATGCTGAGGCCAGCCTCCCGGCACTTATCCAGCAAGTCTCTCGTCTGCTCCACAGATAGAGTGATGGCGACTCGCTGATGTTTACCTGGCTGCGTCCGATCTGTCTGGAATGGGAGGCTAGCAATTTCAACGTCCTCCTTGATGGATTCCTTGGAATGAATGATATTTCGTAGCCGCTCTTGTTGATCTGGCCTTAAATCCTTAGGTATCCCAGCAGCCACGCGGAGTGGCGGGCTCAAATTGACCCATTCTCCACCAAAACAGGGAGAGGTATAACTCGCTCCCGACTTATAGATTTCTGCGGCATGTGCGAATAAATTGTTAAAGAGCATCAATGTACCCATTCCATCAATAATGTCATGATGAGCTCGTAGAACAACATCCGCCCGAAATGCCCCATCAGCCGAGGATGGCTCTTTGATCAGAAATAAAGTCGGCAATGTCGGGACCGGCGGATCCGAATTGCACCAGTCAAGGCCAGATGCGCCGGTTGACAGTACTTGAAATGTTGATTTCAACCAATCCTCCTGAGAGGACGCTTCAGGGAACGTCTCATATATCTTTTTACACTTTTTCCCGTGCACGTCGTATTCCACTCTCGATGCGATTGTGGGATGATCGTGCCGTAGTCGAAGCCAGGCCTTCCGTAGAGCTTCTTCTGCTCGATTCTCGGTCAGGTGGCTTGAAGAAAGGTCCTCTGCAGAAACATAAACCGAAATGAAGCCTGTCATGGCAAAGAACGTTCTTCCGGTTCCTTCATACGCTTTTGCCAGTGATGTGTAGAATTGCTCCGCCTCGTCAACATCGCGCTCCCATCGACCAGGTTTGGTCTCACTCCATTCAAAGCTATTTGGTATGGATGCCATTTTGGTAGTGGGCGTGCGTAAGTTAGTTTGTTCAGGGAAGGGGCC